AAAAAAAAAAAGGAACGTCATGTGAGGAGAGACACACGGACACAGATAAGAAAGCCAGGTGACAACACAGGCCCGGGTGGCAGTGATGGAGATGGAAACCAAGGAATGCCAAGGATGCCAGCAACCGCCAGAAGCTAGGAAAAAGCAAAGGAAGAGTCTTCCCTAGAGCCTTCAGATGTAGCGCAGCCTGGCCAACACCTTGATTTCTGACTTCCAGTCTCCAGAACTGTGAGGGAATACGTTTGTTGTTTAAGCCACCAAGTTTGTGATGATTTGTTATGACAGCCACAGAAAACTAACACAGCTACCTACTTTGCCTATGTTCGTACGCCCTAAAAAGGACAGGTCCAGGCGATTCTAATCAGTCCCGAGCCTTCACCTGTGACCCTACCCCCCTTGGAGATTCCTGGCCCTGTGGCAGGCTTACAGCACATCCCTATAGAGCCAGCTCCAAGAGAAACTGTTTCCATTGAGTGTCTGTCTGCTTCTGTCCTCCTAGTGAGTTCCCAAACCATCCTGCATCCTTCTCGGGAGTGGCTGCCAGAAGGCTCATTGTCACCTGGCTCCTCGCTGAGGTACCATAAACCTTGCAGGTACTGGGGCTTAGACTATCCCACTGGGTGGATAGAGAAGAGGCCCAAAGGTGGGGCAGGTCCAGTTCCAGCCACAGCCACACCCTTCTCCCCTTCTTCTGGGTCATCTGGACCTTGGTTCCCTGTCACTCCAGCTCCCTGTCACCACATGGGGTGGCCAAGAGCGTGGGAAGCCAAAGATGTGACTGGCACTGCTGCTTGTCTCCTGGCAGGCCCCACCTGGGGCCCAGGATGTGTCCCCAGCAAGGCCTGGGGTCCAGCTGTGTCCCTCGCACCTGACTCTCTGGCTCCCCAACTTCCCCCCTCACTGGCTGTCCAGGGGCCTGATACAAGCCGCTGAACCCTATCAGCCCTAGCGGCTGGGGGGGCAATCAGAGCACACCGCTGCCCCCTCCACCCCCAACCCATCCACCAAAGAGGATCTCCACAAACACAGATCTACAGAGCAAGGCAACTTCAGGGAAAGAGGCCAGTGGCCTTTACTTAAATATACACGGAGACTAGTAAGGAGGAATGATGCCCCCCACTCCTGAGGGCACAGCTCTGTCTCTGGGGCCTCCTACCCAATTCAGGTTAGGCCTGAAACACTCCCGAAGAGCCAACTCAACGTAACCACCCCCACAGGAGGCAGAGGGAGGCCCATCCAGGGATCCAGGCCCAGACGCCACCTCCCTCTTTTTCTGGGAAAATGTCCTCCAGGAATCTCTCAGCCAAGAACACAGAGGGTGGGGTAGGACCTGAGGGGTGTGGGGCTGGGGGGTAGTTCTCTGCTGTCCACAGGACTACAATTCTGAGCACCCCTGCATGCCCCTGCCTGGGTTGCCCCCTCCGTGACAACCAAGCTCGACCCTCCCTCCCCACCCCCCTGGACCCCCACCTCGGCCTTCTCCTGTTTGAGGGGACAATGTCCAAGCCTGGCTCGGCCTCTGGAAGGATATGGTCAGGATTTGGGAGACAGCCCAGTTTTGGCTCCAGCCCTGAGGATGTAGAGGAGAGGGAGGGGGTTCTTACCAGGCTGCCAGCTCTGGGCAGGGGTCTGAGAGGTCCCTGGGGCAAGGGGCTGCTGCGTAAGTCTCTGGTCCCGTCACCACCACGTCAGGTCAGCAACAGCGCCTGGGCCCTGGAGGAAGGCAAGCCAAGCGGTCATGCAGGTTTGCCAGGAAGGAAACCTGTGGTGCCAAGGTGGCCCCAGGACAATGCTGACTACAGAGGGGGGTAGTGGAGGCTGCTAGGTCCAGCTGGCGGATGGCAGGCGAGAAGGGGGCCCAGGATAGAAAGGCCCCAGGAGTCCCAATGGGGGTGTCCAAGCAGGCAACAACAGGGGTCAGGGTTCAGTGGATGGTCAAGTGACAAGGACACTAAGCTGTCCTCTGTCTTAAATCAGGGGCTCAGCCCTGGGGGACCACAGTGCCCAGCACCCTGTCCCCAGACACACTCCTGGAGGGCAATACTTAATCCAAAAGAGGAACCTGCATCTGCCCTCACTTACCATGTGCCCTCAGATGGCCACCCCTTACCCCACACACACCCTGTCTGTGCTCACCCCTCCTGCACTGGTGCCCAGGCCCACTGTCCTCATAGGCTGGACACACCCTCTTTGCTGTGGGAGTTGGGGATCTGGAGCCTAGTGCTCCAAATGTCCCCTACCCAGGGAATGTGAGGGCCCAGAGCTGGGAGGGGGGCCTGCAGGGGACAGCAGGCCCCCAAGTAGGCCCCTAGAGCTGCGGTGGGTCCCTAGCTCAAACTTGATCCCTGGAGGAGCCAGGGCTCCCCCTCCTCACACTGCCTCCCCACCCCCGTCAAGCTGGAAGAAGGAAGCCTGGGACAGGTGCAATTGACCTGCTAGCCAGCCTGCCCAGAGCTAGCCCTAGGGTTAACCAGCACTCTTCATCCCAAAAATCTGCCAGGCCTGGGTCAGAGGGAGCCCGAACCACCTAGGCTGCCCTGGCCTGCCCCCAGCCAGGCAGGGAGGGGCAGTAAATATTTGCCAAGCAGGAACGTCTATGCAGGTGGACGGGTCATACTACAATTAATTGCCCACTGCCCGGGAAAGTCCTGAAGGCAGGTGATGGCACTGCCTAAGGCTGGCACCGGAATCCCCACACGCCCGGCCTGACTCCGAGTCCAGTGCTCTTTTGTACCACCAAAGCCACTGTTCCACTGTCAGCCAGCCAGAGGCCATGGCCAAGCGCCACCTCGTCCGGCCCTGGCTCAGCGTCTCCCCCAACGGCTCCAGGCCCTGGAGACAGAGCTCCAGAGCCCGGTCTAGCGCGGGCCGGGGCCTCTACCAGCGAGACCTCCCGAACCGAGTGTTTGGGAGCTCCGGGGCCCCCAGCAGGACCCCCCCTTCCACCGCGGCGGCCCCGCCCGGGCGCGCACCCCCAGATCCCGCGCCCCCCACCGGTGCAGCCCCGGCC